TCTTTAAACATCAAGATTCATCATTTTTTGGTTTTCTCAAATGAGATACTTAACGATTATACAACAAATACAAATCTAACTCTAACAAAATTATACAGGTTTTTTGAACAAATCAGATACAAATCACACTGTTAAAGGACACCCATACAAGGACAAAGCTAAAAATTTGGGAATGAAACCCATGAACCTGGGTAAATACCCACGAATGGGAAAGCTGAAAATTTGGGCATGAAACCCATAAACCCGAGTAAATACTCACAAATGGGATTTACCCATGAAAAGAGGTCATTTTCTTCCATTAAAGACCAGACCAAGGCTTCAACCAACCTTCAAAAATTGAACATACAAAGAAGAAAGAAGATAAAAGAAGAAGAAAAGCTCATCACGCTGAAAGGGTGTTGAACGATTAGAGAGAGAGAAAGAAAGGGGGAGAGGGAGGTACCTGGGCTGAGCTGTCTCTGATCGTCGTTGTGTTGATCGCAGCTGGTGTGTGTGCTACCGCAGAGAATGTTGGTGTGAATGGTGTGTGCTGCTGCTAAGCCATGGTAGAGGAGTGAGAGGGGTCTGGGTAGGGGTGTAAGAGCATCTCCAACGCTCTCGCCAATTGTTTCCTCTACACAATTTTAGCGAGCAAATTCCAAATCCCAGGCTCCAACGCTCTTACTATCCAGCTCGCTAAATAGCTAAGGGCTTTTTGCTAGCCAGATCTGGTGAGGGTTTACCAGCTCACCAGTTGCTGGCTTCCCTCCATTTCTACACAAGTTCCTTACATTTCCTCCTTCATCCTAGCCAAATCAGGTATTGAAGTTTCAAAGATAATCTATGTTTTTGGCTTTCCATGAGCACCTCAGCCCTTCTCTCTACTTCTTCTTTTTCCCATATCTTTCCCACCTGACGCACAGCCAAGCCAAGCGGACTCCATCAACGTTCAGGTTGCCACCGATTCCCCTCCCTTTGCTCTTCTCCATCGCCACCACAAAACAAAATTTATTACAAAATGTTTACCTAATCCCAATCCTTTTTGTGTTTAATAGACCTATTATTTGTATGTTAGAGAGTGATTCAGCCCTGTGTATCTTTGATGAGAATATTATTTATACTTTAAAAGCAAAATCTCACCACAACTCAGCAAAATAGCGATTTAAAATTGAGCAAAAGATGATTTGGGTTGAGTTTGATTGTGGTTTCCCTAGTTAATTGCCCCTGTTTTAATTGTTAGAATTGTGATCAATTAGAATTTAGTATTCACAATATCTAAAATAGTTCCAATCAGTTTTCCTTCATTAGCGATAATTAAGAATAATAGATTCAATTTTGTCAAGATCTGTGTTTGTCCAAATCAAATACAAGCAAGGCAAATGGTATTGAATCACAAATATTCTTTGGTATGATGGTATGTATGCTTGTCTATATCAAGTTTATCAGAAATATGATTTGGTATGATGGTATGTTTGCTTATCCATATCCAGTTTCTTGTCAATGTAGCTTCACTATCATTTGTGTATCCAAGATGAATATATTTTAGTATAGGCTTTGCTTTGGGGGGAACTTGCTATAAATTAGATTTTGAGATACACTAGCTCGTTTAAGATTGTCGTGTATGCTGGATACCAATTGTCAAAAATTGGTGTACATAAATAGAAAGTCTATTGAGACCTTGGACGTTAGAGGATGCACTTGGGATACAAACTTATATTTTAAGTGGTTTATAAAACTTAAAGTTCCTATGGACAGGGCCTGCAATGGAGAATCTCTATATTCAGTACATTCTATATTCTTCCTATGGACAATTTACTTAAAACTTATTCTCTTGTCATTTTCAATGTTTTATGTATTTATCTTTAAGGACTGTTTGCTTCTAGGAGACTGGTTTGTTGTCCTCTTTTTGTTGTCCTCAATTTCAATATTGATTGTCCTCTTTTTGTTTCTCATGGACTCCTGACATAAAACTTTTCTTCCATTGTTCTAGAATTTTGAAGTTTCAACAAACATTGCAATGAGGCAAGAGCCTTTGGTTCAGAGGGACTGATTTAGAGATGCTGCAGCTCCCATACTTTTATTTCTTGTTAAGTCTTTCTATTTAAAAGTAGGAGGAGTTGACTGGAGGTGTGCTATGTTGTTTGGTTGCAAATCAAGCTGGGTTGGTGTTATGCTATTTGTTGATGTCTAGGCAATTGGTGTGTGCAACTGGTTTGCATTGCACTGTTCTGCTTTGCTATGGATTTTTTGTACTAATCTGGCAATGGTGTTTATTGGCAGTTTAGTCTAAGGAGAGTGCGGTACTGTATCAGGAAATTGGAGGGGTTTGTGCCCATGAGCTAAGTTAATAGCTTTAATTCTTTTGAAGGATTAAAGCCAACTCTTGGGGGCAATTTGCAGGATGTCAGAAGCTCCAGTTCTTAATCAAAGGGTAGGTTTACTGAGCTAGTATGAAGCTCTAGTGGATCAAACAATTTTAGTTTTGCTTCTTGTAATTCATTGATTTCATGAAATAAAATTTTCTCTTTCATTGATTTTTGAAGGATGAACATGGATATTACTTCACCAAGAGAAGGTACAACTCAAGCAACTGATGGAGTGGTAATACAACAAACAAGTACTGTAATATTATGCATGCTTAAATATGCATAGACAATGAATGTTTACATACTCGTAGCATATTATTACCTAAAACATTCCATGCATATTCCACAAGTGCTTGACTAGATCAGGTTGGAGTATCGAATGTGTCTCTCTGTCTCGAATGCGATGTTGAGTATGAATAAATTGAAGCAGTTCTGAACTCCGTTCGGATATCAATGTAGGAGTAGGAATTTCATTTGATGCATTATAACTAAAGTCCATTTCATTACTGTCTCTCTCATCCTTGACAATCATGTTATGCAATATTATGCATGTCTTCATAATATCTTTAAGTACTTCAACTTTCCAAAAACGTGCAGGTCCACGAACTATAGCAAATTGTGCTTGGAGCACTCCAAAAGCTCTCTAAACATCCTTTCTGGCTGACTCTTGAGCTTGTGCAACATGTGTTTGCTTATTGCCTCTTGGACACGAAATTGTTTTGACAAACGTGGCCCACTTTGGATATATACCATCAGCAAGATATTATCTCATAGTATAATCGTTTTCATGGACGGAGTAATTGACCGAACGAGCCCTACCTTTCGAAATAAGAGTAAAAATAGAAGAGCGTTCTAGCACATTTATATCATTATGGGATCTAGGTAACTCAAAAAAGGCATGTCAAATCCATAGATCATATGAAGCCACTGCCTCTAAAATAATTGTTGGTTCATGAATATGACCAGAGTACATACCTTTCCATATTGTTGGACAATTCTTCCATCTCCAATGCATGCAGTCAATGCTACCTAGCATCCCCGGAACGTCTCTCACCGATTGCTAATAATCTAGAAATGTTTGTACTGTTTGGTGACCTGAGATACTCATCAGAATAACTTGCTACTATGATCGATACAAATCTTTGCATACTTTCTATTGCAGTACTTTCACCGATCCTCACATAATCATCAACAGCATCTGCTGCAACTCCATATGCAAGCATTCTTATAGCAACAATCATTTTTTGAAGAGGAGACAAGCCAATATTCCCAACAGCATCCCTTTTTTGGACAAAATATGGATCATAAGTTTCCACCATTGATAGAATACGAACAAAAAGATATTGATTCATTCGAAACCTCCTTCGAAATAAATTTGGGGGATAGGTAGGCAATTCAGCAAAATAATCGCAATAAAATCTCTCATGCCCCTCAACTCGATTGCAAAAAATAACAGAATGGCCTTAAATAGAACCACAATGTATTGCAAAGCTATTCTCAGTATTAAGTTTCTTCATTGCCATAGCAGCAATCGCTAACATCTCTAACTCATCATCAGAGTCAGAATCACTAAGAATAATCTTCAAAGAAATACTCATAACAAAGAAATATGAATTCAATACTAGTAAAATAAATTTGAGCTATATGACAATGAGAAGGGGGAGGTCTTATTTATACATTTTCAAAAATATGACCGTTGTAAATATGTCCGTTAGAAATATAGCCGTTGAAAATATGACAGTTGAAAATATGGACAGTGGAAATATGACCGTTGTAGTCGTTGTAAATATGTCTGTTGAAAATATAACCGTTGTAAAATTTAAAATTTGATGACGTGGCACGATACGTCATCATTATAGCGCTTACGTGTTACGCCATGTGATATTTTTAAATTATATTATTTAAAGTTAGTTAAAGTTAATTGAAGTAATTAACTAAAATAGAAAGCGTAGTTGAAGTGAATCTTAAAAAATAGATAACTAAAGTAGTGAATATAATATTTAAATATATTTTGAGTAACTATTTTATTGAGCGTGATTAAAGATGCTCTAAGGGTCTAGATAGAGGGGTCTGGGTAGTAGTGTAAGGGATTTGAGTAGCGTATAGGTGTGTACTGTCGCTGTGTTAAGCCATGAGCCATGGCAAAAGAGGTGACTGGTGAATAGTGCAGGGGTGGGTCGCGTGTAAGAGATGAGTTTCATTTAAGCAAGAGTTTTTTTTATGTGAGATGAAATGTAATTTATTAGATCCAATTAGAAGAACTAGATAAAATCTAGATTGTCGAGTGAAAATTAAAATCATTCTGTGCTTCCTTAAATAAATTTAAATTAAATTAAATTTTAAAGTGAGGAAATATTCGAATTGAATTGTATCCTATTATTATTGGTTCTTTTTCTGAGTGTTTGACTCTTGAAGACCGGTCCACTGAACTCTCTGTCTGATGCCTGTTTCATTGGCGATGTCCTTTTCTGAACCAAACTGACAGTACAAAAAATATTTTATCACGAGATTCTCTCTCTCTCTCTCTCTCTCTTTCTCTCTCTTGCAACACTGCAACTTCAGTTACAATTCTCATCATCCACTGGTTATATATGTGTATATAGAGCCTCTTCAGTTTTTACTTGAAAAACCCAATCACCAAAACAAGAGGCAAAAATGGAGATTGGATCGAGAGACCAACCACCCAAACACGAAGAAAAACTGGAGAATGGGTCGAGAAAATGGCATTTTCATGGGAAACAAGAGATGAATAGAGCTTCTTCATTATCTGTTCGAGGTATTCTTAAGGCGATAACTGACAATCTCAATGGAGCTGATCAAAGGCCGACTATTATGCTTGGCCGTGGAGATCCCTCAGAGTATCCCTGTTTTCGAACCACGCCAATTGCCGAAGACGCCCTTGTTGATGCGATTCGCTCTGCTAAATTCAACTGTTATGCTCCTGCCATTGGTATTCTGCCAGCAAGAAGGTAACTGAAAGATCTCTCTATATATTTGCATTTACTTTCACAGATTTTCTTGTAGCTTTTTTCTTCACAGCTTTTCTGAGTTACAATTGATTTTCAATTATGACCTTTTAGTCTTAAAATTTCCAATTTTATTTTTACATTGTCCATTTGATCATTTCTGTACAAATAATTATTGGAAGTGAATGCGTTGAGAGACATTATGTTTTTTTCCTTTAACTTCTTGAAGGGAAGAGGATTGGGATGAGATCAAGCTGTTCTCCAAAGATTTTTTTTTTTTTTAATTCTCTACTGCATTGTGTAGTGGGCATGCCTCATGATGTTTAATGATTCGTTAGAGTAAAGGGTCATTGATGACTATTTTAATCTCCAATTGTTGCTGCTATGTCATGCCAGATTTGTATTTTTTTTTCCTGAAACATATTTTCACTTTTGTCATGTAGAATTTATCATGTGCTTTGTGTTGTTAATGCCATAGAAAAGAACAGTGGTGTAAATGCATTCTTCTAGGCATTTATCTTACACAAATGTATCTGTAGGAGAAAAATAAGCAGCGTTGGATTGGCCATTTCATCTTATCCACATTTGGCAGTGTTTGAGACTTTCTTTGTATTTTCACATCTTAATTTTGGAATTCCTCATATTTTGGAAACTATGATGTGAAGTAAAGTGCAGTTGCTTATATTTTGGGTCCTATCTCTATATCTATACGGGCCTTGAGGTTGAGGGTTTCAGCTCCACTTGTATTTAGTCCTATCTCTAATGCACGTTTCATGCATGTGTTTCAAAAAAGTTGGTGAATGGTGATGGATCAGCTGCCAATGACAATTCTCAATATGATAGAGAAAATAATGTGGATCAGTAATTTATAACATTGTGAGACGAGCTTCATGGTGAGGTTCAACCTAACAGAGAAACAGTATTGCAAAATTTGCCGCTTAGAGTCATTTTCATTTCACCAAATAGAGTATAATTGAGATCATTTTTGTAGAAGTAACACAAAAACAAAAGAAAAACAAAATTATCTGATTCGATGCTTATGCTTTCACTACTATAACAGGTCTGTGGCAGATTATCTCTCTGAGGATCTTCCATACAAACTATCGCCGGATGATGTTTGTCTCACTGTTGGTGCCCATCATGCAATTGAAGTAATATTGACAGTTCTTGCTCAACCTGGTGCGAATATCTTGCTTCCTAGACCAGGGTATCCATATTATGAAGCTGTGGCCAAATTGAGCCATCTTGAGGTCCGCCACTTCGATCTTCTCCCAGAACAGGGTTGGGAGGTTGATCTTGATGGTTTGGAAGCATTAGCAGATGATAACACTGTTGCTTTAGTTATCATCAACCCTGGAAATCCCTGTGGGAATGTTTTCATGTATGACCATTTGCAAAAGGTTAGTTGCACTATTTCACAGGAACTGAGAATGCCTATTTTGATTTTGACTCAAGTGGTTGTTGGGTTGCAAGACCACTTTTAAAGGTTGCGGAGACTGCAAGAAAGCTTGGAATTCTTGTGATTGCAGATGAAGTTTATGGCCATCTAGCATTTGGAGGTAACCCATTTGTGCCAATGGGAGTGTTTGGATCAATTGCACCTGTTCTTACAATTGGGACATTATCAAAGAGATGGATTGTTCCTGGTTGGCGACTTGGTTGGATTGCAACTAATGATCCCAATGGCATCCTTCAAAAATTTGGGGTTTGCTCCCTCTCCACCTTTTTTTAAAGTGCATGTGCTTGTGCTTGTGTTTTGTTTCATTCATTCTCTACCTGGTATTTACTTATGTTCTTATGCTACATTGTGCATGAAAAAGATGCATCAAGGGAATTGAAAAAGCTGCACACCCTCCCAATTTCACATAACACAACAAAACTACGGAAGAGAAAAAGGTGGAAAAATGTTTCCTACATAAGATCCATCATTGACATATCTTGTGTCCATATATTTGATAGAATTTGATTATAAATAAAGCAAACCAAACTCATCCAGTTCAAATGGGACCATCACTGGTCAGTAGTTTTGTTTCATGCTAACATACCATATTTGGTCATAAAATTGATGCATCAAATAATACATAATATCCCTTCCACAATCTGTTTCTCCTAGTGTAGGTCTACAAGCGAACCCACCAAATCAGAGTTGGAAATCTAAGTAGTAGGTAGTGTTTGGCATATTTTGTTTGTCGAGAAGTCAATGAAGTAAGAATCTTGTAACTCGGTTATGCTTTTAGCAGGAAATGTTCAGCTATTGAAGTTTTTTGCTATTGTTGAATGACATGTCCTAGGACCTGCTGACATGGAGCTGAGTAGATTGAAGTGGAAGTAGTCAAATAAATTAGTCATGTGGAAGATTTACCTATTCCTTAGGAAGTATTTATTGGTTTGTTTCTATTCTTTAGGAAGTATCTATAGGTAGCAGGTTTGTTGCTATTTTTAGGAGGTATCTGCAGGTAGCAGATTAAGCTGCATTTTTTATGTTTTTCTGTTTTAAGCTAGCTGTATAAATAATTGCTTTGAAGCTTAATAAAATAAGGACTTTAGATGCCTCAACGTTCTGTTGCATCCTGAGAGTTTCTGCACTTTGTTTCTATCAAAACCTACAAATTGGTATCAGAGCCAAGTTCTTGAGCAATCTGTGAGGTGAGTGAGCCTATACACCACCATCTACCCTATCCATAACACAAAAAAAGCCTACAAACAATATCCAGAATGACCTCAGAAGCTTCACTGAATGCACTGGCACCTCCAGTGTTTGATGGAATAAATTATCAAGTGTGGGCTGTCCGTATGGAAGCCTACCTTGATGCTAGTGATATGTGGGAACCTGTCAATGAGGAATATGAAATTCCTCCCTTGTCCGACAATCCAACTACGGCTCAGATAAAACAACACAATGAGAGGAGGCAAAGGAAATCAAAGGCAAAAGCTAGTCTATTTGCAGCTGTCTCATCTACAATTTTCACCAAAATCATGACACTGAAGACAGCAAATGAAATATGGAACTTCTTGAAGAAGGAATATGAAGGAAATGAACGAGTCAAAGGTATGCAAGTGTTGAACCTAATTAGAGAATTTGATATGCAAAGGATGAAAGAATCAAAAACAATCAAGGACTACTCAGACAAACTTCTTAGTATTGTTAACAAAGTAAGACTTCTTGGTACTGACTTTTCTGATTTTAGAATAGTTCAGAAAATTTTTATAACAGTTCCTGAAAAGTTTGAGACTACAATATTATCTCTAGAAAACTCAAAAGATGTGTCAAGTATCACCTTGGCAGAGCTGTTGAATTCATTACAGGCTCAAAAACAAAGGAGGCTTATGAGACAAGAAGGATCTGTGGATGGTTCATTTCAGGCCATATCTCAGTACAAGAAAGAGATGCAAAGCAACAACACTCAAAAGTTTCCACCATGTCCTTACCGTAAAAAATCCAATCATCCACAAAGAAGGTGTTGGTGGAGGCCGGATGTAAAATGTCACAAGTGTGGTCAGCTAGGGCATGTGGAAAGGATATGCAAATCTCAATAGTAGCAAGGAGAGGCCAAGGCTGTTGTAGAAGAACCTCAAGATGAGCAACTGTTTGTGGTATCATGCTTTGCCACTAGCAGTTCCCTAGAAACTTGGCTTATAGACAGTGGTTGTACAAACCATATGACTTATGATCAAGGGCTCTTTAAGGAACTTGACAATACTGTTACTTCCAAAGTTAGAATTGGAAATGGAGCATATCTTGTAGTAAAAGGCAAACGAACAGTGGCAATTGAAGGGCACACAGGTTTGAAATTAATCTCTAATATCTTATATGTTCCTGAGATTAATCAAAATCTATTGAGTGTTGGTCAGCTGCTGGAAAAAGGCTATAAGGTGCTGTTTGAGGACAAACATTGCATGATTGTTAATACACAAGGCAGAGAGATATTTATAGTCCAAATGAAAGGCAAAAGCTTTGCCTTGGATTTGATGAAAGAAGAGCAGGCTGCAATTCACAAAGAAGAAGGCAATACAATGCTTTGGCATAGGCGTTTGGCGCACTTTCATCATACCACCCTTCTCTTTATGAAGAAGAACGATCTTGGAGAAGGCTTGCCTGAATTAGAGGTGAAGCCTCCTACCTGTGTAGCCTGTCAGTATGGGAAACAAACAAGACTTCCTTTCCCACAAAACAAGGCCTGGAGAGCTACTCAGAAGTTGCAGTTAGTATACACTGATGTGGGAGGACCTCGGAGAACACCATCACTGAATGGCAGTAAGTTCTATATTGCTTTCATTGATGATCACACAAGAATGTGCTGGATTTATTTCATGAAATTTAAATTTGAAGTTGCTGACATCTTCTGGAAGTTTAAAGCTTGGGCTGAAAATCAAAGTAAATGTAAAATGCAAGTGTTCAGGTCTGATAATAGAACTGAATACACCTCGGAGAAATGAAGCATGGTATGGCTATAAACCAAGGCTGCAAAATTTAAAAACATTTGGTTGTCTTTGTTTCTCTTATATTCCACATGTTAAGAGAGACAAATTGGATAAGAAAGCAGAAGCTGGGATTTTATAGGCTATAGCTCAATATCAAAGGCCTATAGAATCTACATTCTAGAAAACAACAAAATAATAGTTACTAGAGATGTCAAATTCTTCGAATTAGAAAGCTGGAGTTAGGAGAATGATAAGAAGCTTGAGTTTCAAGAGAATCTTGAGTTCCAAAAGGACCTTGAGTTTCAGGAGGAGAATGACAATATTGATGATGAACTAGTCAAGGAAACCAGATCATTTTCTGATATCTATCAGAGGTGCAATGTTGCTATAATAGAGCCTGCAGGGTATGAAGAAGTTGTAGCTGATAAAAAATGGATGGATGCAATGAAGGAGGACCTTAAAATGATTGACAAAAACCAGACTTGGGAGCTAATTAACAAACTGACACACAAAAAGGCAATTGGAGTCAAGTGGGTTTATAGAACCAAACTCAATTCTGATGGTTCTATAAATAAACACAAGGCAAGACTGGTTGTCAAAGGATATGCTCAAATGTTTGGGGTGGATTTCTCTGAGACTTTTGCCCTAGTTGCTAGATTGGACACTATAAGAATGTTGCTAACTCTTGCTACTCAAAAAGGCTGGAATATACACCAGATGGATGTCAAATCAGCCTTCTTGAATGGATACTTGGAGGAAGAAATTTTTGTAAAGCAGCCTGAAGGTTTTATTGTTCAAGGAATGGAGGAGAAAGTATATTTGCTAAAAAAGGCCTTGTATGGTTTAAAACAGGCACCAAGGGCCTGGTACAGCAGGATTGATTCACATTTGTTAAGCTTAGGCTTTACAAAAAGCCTAAGTGAATTTACTCTATACTTCAGGAAGGTTTGTGATGAAACACTTGTGGTATCTTTATACGTTGATGATCTACTTGTGACAGGAAGCAGTATGGAGCAAATTGACAATTTCAAAAAGGAAATGAAGGATGCTTTTGAGATGACTGATCTTGGGAGGATGACATTCTTTCTTGGCATGGAGGTACAACAAAAGCAGAATGAGATCTTCATATGTCAACAAAAATATGCCAAGGAAATCCTGAAAAAGTTCAAGATAGAAGAGTGCAATCTAAGCGCAACTCCAACGAATCAAAATGAAAAGTTTTGCAAAGAAGATGGAGCTGCAAAAACTGATGAAAGGCATTACAGGACCATTATTGGGTGCTTGATGTACCTAACGACAACTAGACCAGATATTATAAATGTTGTAAGTTTACTCTCAAGGTACAGGCATTGTGCTAGTGAAATTCACTTTCAAGCAGCAAAAAGAATTGTTAGATATGTCAAGCGTACAATTGACTATGGTCTGACGTTTTGTCAAGTTAAAAATTTCACTCTCCATGGTTATTCAGATAGTGATTGGGCAGGTTGTGTTGATGACATGAGAAGTACTTCAAGTTATTGTTTCAGCTTTGGTTCTGCTATTTTTTCATGGTGTTCCAAAAAGCAAGAAGTCATAGCTCAATCCACAGCAGAAGCAGAATATGTAGCTGCTGCTGCTGTTGTGAATCAGGCTCTCTGGATCAGGAAATTGATGGCTCACTTGTTTATGGAGCAAAAGGAAAGCACACAAATACTCGTAGACAACCAAGCTGCAATTTCAATTGCAAATAATCCGGTGTTCCATGGCAAAACAAAACATTTCAAGTTGAAACTCTATTTCCTAAGAGAGGTACAGAAGGAGGGAGAAATACAGCTGGTCTACTACAAAACAGAGAGTCAGAATGCTGATATCTTAACCAAGCCACTTCCCAAAGCTAGATATGAGTTCTTGAGGCAAAGGCTTGGAGTCTGCCGCTCCAGAGACACGGAGGAGTGTTGAATGACATGTCCTAAGAGCTACTGACATGGAGCTGAGTAGATTGAAGTGGAAGTAGTCAAATAAGTTAGTCATGTGGAAGATTTACCTATTCCTTAGGAAGTATTTGTTGGTTTGTTTCTATTCTTTAGGAAGTATCTATAGGTAGCAGGTGTGTTGCTATTTTTTAGGAGGTATCTTCAGGTAGCAGATTAAGTTGCATTTTTTATGTTTTTATGTTTTAAGCTAGCTGTATAAATAATTGCTTTGAAGCTTAATAAAATAAGGACTTTAGATGCCTCCACGTTATGTTGCATCCTGAGAGTTTCTACACTTTGTTTCTATCACACCCTACAGCTATATTTATGTTTACTAACCAGAATGTGATTGTGTTGCACATGAAAGTATTGTGATCCAACGATGACTATATATACAAATTGCTAAAGGGTAGCTAAGTGCACGAAACTTCCACCACTGAGGGAGGGTCAGATGTAGCCTTACTCCCGTCTGCAGAGAAACTTTTTATGTTATACATACAAAATACTGAAGTAGCAAAACAATACATAGACCTACTAAGAAAATGAAGCAATAAACGCTAAGTATTACATTTTAGAACCAATACTACGCTTATGCATGTATATCAATACATTGTACCAGACCAGTGTTTTGAAACCAACTTTTACAAAAATTAAGGGTTGTCATCTCAAAAGTTAGGTATTCAGTTGCCAGTTATTTCGAGTAGAATAAATACGGCTTGAAGGCACTAGCTAGTTTAACATGAAGACACAAATAATCAAGACAAAGTTAAATGTGGTTGATTATTGGATTTTTTTCCATATTCTTAAGAAATACAGAGGGAAAGAGTGCATCAAATATTTTCTAACTCATTCAATTGCTGCAACAAAAGGCATATGAAAATCATTCTAAAACATATTGTTAAAGTACTGTGAACCTCGTCAATTTTCATGTGCATACTAGATATACAATAGTGCATGTTTTTTTTTTCTAGGTAAGTACAATAGAGTGCATGTTGAGGATTAATAAAATAGAGTGCTCTGTCACAATAAAAGTGGTGTAATAAAATAGAGAACCATTTCTTTGAATCCAAATATATTTCATAAATTGAGCTCATCTACATATAGGCACATATGCCTTGACAACTTATAACAAAGTTCGTGTTGTATCGCATAGTACTATTGCCTTTTGATTTGTTATCCGCTTTCAGGTTCTTTATATATAGAAGCATGTGTTACGAAAATTTATGATAAGGGTCTTGTTGTATCATGTATCATGTAGTGATATCAATATTTGATTTGTTTATTTGTTTTGGTTCTCTCCTCTCAGATTGTTGAGTCAATTAAGAGCTATCTTGAAATTGCTGCTGATCCTGCGACTTTCATTCAGGTATGTGATTCAAGATGCTTCTTTCTCAAGATCTAATTAATCTTAAAAGGTGCAGTACTTTACAAATTTACGATAATACAGTATTCACTTACGAAATAGACTTTGTATCCATTTTGTGTTGGAGTAACTCTACTTGTTCTTCCTTTTCTTTCTATTTAGTATGGACGGGGTTGGAGCCACATATTTTGGACTCGGCTCAAATGAACTCAGATTGGGCTAATAGTTTTTCATTTCCCATCTCATAGAAAATCCTTTTTACTCTATGACTGACGAGCAATTACTAGTGGAATTCCTGCATATTTGATGAAAAGGATGTCACATGCGAGCCATAAGTGTTGCATAACGAAATCTCCTCAAGCTCTTGATATTCCATTTCATTATAACGCATTAGTGGCACAACAGTATTTCTTTCCAGTGGATACAAATAACTAGGGTTCAGTTTTTAATGTCAGAGAGATGATGAATTAGAAAGTGAAAGAATTGTGCTTCAAGTAAGTATGAGAATACTAGTGTTGCAACTGGAACAAATGTCATACGTTCTAGGCTATGGTTGAGGAGCGTTAATCCTACAAGCAATTTTCTATCAGTGATCTAAAAGTATGTTTCTTGTTTCCTGGAGCAGATCAAGTGATAATGATTTTATGGCTGTCTCAGGGGGCGGTTCCTCAGATCCTAGAGAAAACGACTGGGTGTTTCTTCCAGAAGATTATTACTGTACTCACAGAAGCTGCAGATATTTGTTATGGTGAACTCAAAGAGATCCCTTGCATTACTTTTCCACACAAACCAGAAGGGTCCATGTCTGTAATGGTATAGACAAAGTTGAAACTCAAGCGTTTCTTTTTGTGAATAAATGTCGAAGGTGTTTTTACCTGGGATTACATTTTCCTTGTAGGTGAAGCTGAATCTGTTGGTACTAGATGGCATAGAAGATGATATGGATTTTTGTACCAAGCTTGCTAAAGAAGAGTCTGTTATCATTCTACCAGGTAAGCAATGAAAGTATCATTCAGAAACCAAGAAATAACAATTATTGGTATTTTATGGATTCTCTTTTTGTTCACAACACTATGGTTAGTAAGACAATAAAAGACTCCTATGCATATGTGGTGTAGCAACCCATCTGTAGAATACCATGAATTTCGAAAAGGTGGTTGGTTGAATGAGCTTGAGAACATAAAATTTCTTGCAGGTGTTGCTGTGGGACTGAAGAATTGGCTCCGTGTAACTTTTGCCATTGAGCCGACACCTCTTAAAGATGGCCTAGGCAGAGTGAAAGCCTTCTGCTTGAGGCATGCTAAGAAGGAATGAGATTTACTCGACATTCATCCAATCTCATCAAATTTACCAACAAGTAGGTGTTGGTTCTCTTGCATTTGAGCTCTTACTCACTTGTTACGCTTGTAGTCAATGGTAACATGGATTCTGTGCTGCTTGTGGCCGATGTATAATTGTTAATGCATTTGCCTTGATTTCTGAAATAATCTAAGAAAAGAACTTGTAGGTTTTATGGATTTCTTTTGGTGGAAGTTCGTTCTTTTTATTTTCCTGGTTAATTTTGGAAGTCAAGAATCAAAATTTCCATTTTTTTTGTTCTGTGGATGAGTAATAAAAAATTCCTTGTATGAGGAAATTATGAGTTCTATTTCATCCTGAATCCTAATCAAGACCATATGGCATTTATGTTTTTGTAAGTATCATGTCAGCAATATGATTTTCATTGATCTTGCAGTTGTTCGAAAACCATCATTTTTAAGGATGAAATCTGTGAGGGGTCAAGTCACATAGTAAAAAATTTAGGGTTAATCATAAATTGTACCCCGAAAGATCTCTTAAAGCTCAATTTGCACCCTCAAAGACCAAAATCTTAATTTACACCCTCAAAGATATAAATATGTATTAATGTGTACTTGAAGTTAACAACCGTCAGTTTGTTGTCTAAAATTAAATGGTTAAATTATACCTAGACTTCCTCATATTTGTCACTTAATTATCTGAATCTCCTCACATTTGAAATATTATACCTACATCCCCTGAGAATTCAAATATAACTAAAACTGTTTCCTAATTGGAAATTTAAATAATTTTGTTCAAGTGATTTATTGCTTTAGATATAAAGAACATTATATAATACTGATGAGGGTGGAATTTTTGGAATGGGCTGCCACGGCCTATGCGCTCAATACATCTTGAGAATCCAAAGGCATGGTTTATTGGCCCAAAGAGGTGCCTCTGGTTAGCCCACATCGGGAGCAACAAGAGTAAACGCCCAATGGCTCTAGAAGGCCAGTAGTCAAGCCCCAGCCTAGTCCAGTACCAGCTGAAGGACCATCCGAGAATGAGGAGTCAAATCTTTGCCCTAGAAGCATCCCGTCATGCCCCGCGTCCAAAAGACAAAGGGACCATCTCTGAAACCTATGACAGTTACACCCTCCCGGGCGTAGAGGATGGTGGCGCGTAACGATCCAGAGGTCGTGAAAAAAGTAGCGCTGGCTAACAGAGGCTTTTGCAAGACCAGGATGGGAGGTCCCCATAGGATGAGCAAAAAGGTAGAAGGAACCACCAAGAACCCTAAGAAGAATTAGTATAAATAGAATAGTGTAAACCTACGAAAAAGGATCTCCCCCCCCCCCCCAAGAGATTCCCCTGCCCTAGATATAGAAGAAACAAAGCTTAAGCTTCTGTAAAGGCTCAGTACCGATGATCCCGATATACTCACCTTATTCTAATACAGGACCTTAAAGAGCAAGAGACTCCATTATAGTGGATGTAGCATTGGCCTTTCAGCTAAGGTAAACCACTTATGTTTTGGGCCTTCCATTACTTACGAATCAACCAATCATCCGATCAAACTCACTGATCCAGATAGTAATTCGTTAATCAGGCTTGGGCCATTGTTTCCGAGACCCCATCAGTTGGCGCCGTCTGTGGGAACGATTTTCATCGTTCTTTTGAGTTTTTATCTATTTGATGGTTTCAGCTCGGAATATGATTAAAGCTCCAGCCAATCCCCAAGTCCACCAAAACCCGCCAGAGAACTTCCCGGTCCGGGAAGTGGACGCCAAGGATCATCTTCTAGAGTCAAACCTCCCTCCGCTCAATGAACTAGAAACCTACCATCGAACTACGATGAAATTAATGAAGTGGAACCAAGAGATGATGGAATGGATACAGATGCATCAGCTCCCTCGATTCCCACCAGCTCGACAGGAGCCCCCTCCACCCCTAGCAGAACACAACGCCTCTCACCAGGTGCGCCAAGTTCCACCAAATAGGGTCACCAAACTCCATGAGGGCAGCCACTCTGGGAAAAATCAACAGAGGAGACCCACCGAAGAACACGACGAAGATAAAGCCCACAGTCGGGCTGGAGTTGCCTTTCGAGAAGAGAGGCCCCATCCCCTGCTGGACGCTAATGATCATACATGGGAACAAAAAATCTGCGAACTCCAATGGGAGCTGGGCAACGTGAAAGAGGTGGTCAAGGGAAAGATTCTCGACACCATGGCCGCTATGGTCCAGCAAACCGAGGCACCATTCACTCCCGAGGTCCTTCATTTTCCTCTCCCCCAGAAATTTTGAACGCCTTCGATAAAGACGTTCGAAGGGACCAAGGACTCAGTTGACCACTTGAATTCCTATAAAAACCAGATGAAACTCCAAGGGTACCCAGGCCCAATCCAATGTCGAGCGATCGCCATCACCTTTAAGGGGTCGGCAATATCCTGGTTTAATAGGAGCTACGTGTAGCGCTTCAACCAGGAATGTCTAAAGAGGGAGAGTGTGGACGATAAGTTCACACTGACCACCTTCATGTCCATGCTCGGAGTGCAGTCTAAAAACCTCCTCTTCTCGATCACGAAGAACCCTCAAGCCACTACGGCTGAGGTATTAGCAAAAGCCAAGAAATACATCAATGGTGAAGAAGCCCTCCGCTTGAAAGGAAGCTCGACGGCGATGGAAAGAGACCAGAAGAAAAGGGACCGCAATCCCAAGAAAGAGAAAAGATGCGATCGATCCCTGAGAAGGGACCGTTCCCCAAGGAGAGGGAGGGAGCCTTTTCCTAAAAGGAGAGGCAACGTCCAAGACTGCCTGGGGGCCCCTCCATAGGAATTACAGTTGCGATATGCACCAGCGCGGCTTCCACCCCTCGTCACCTCGATCGCTCAAGCCTTCCACTAGGTCCAGAACGAAAGGTTCATCCAGTGGCCGCCTCGAATGAAGTCAGACCCCAGTAGGCGGGACGCCACCAAATACTGCGAATACCACAAAGATACGGGCCATGAGACAAACGATTGCATCCAGCTCAAAAATGAGGTTGAGTACCTAATCCAAAGGGGCCACCTACGCCATTATGTGACAAGAGAAGGAAGACTTCAGAACAACTAGGGGTGGGAAGCCCGAGCTACTGTGGCACCTCCTCAGCCGCATTAGCAAGCTCTCAGTGAAATTCGAGTCATCTCGGGATGCTTCGCAAGAGGAGGAGAGTCTAGTTCAGCACGAAAGGCATACGCTAGAAGAGCACGTTCAGAAGATCACCTTGAAATCTAGGTCGTCTAGAAGGCACCCTGACAAGAAGTAGAGATAACCTTTTCGAATGCGGACCTCGGAGGATGTCAACACCCACATGACGACCTCCTGTTCATAAAGGCAATCATTGCTAACAAAACTTTACAGCAAGTGCTCGTTGACAATGGAAGCTCCGCAAATATCATCTTCTTATCGACTTTCGATCAGCTCGGCATAGAAAGATCAAAGCTCGAGCCCGTGAAATCCTACTTATTGGGCTTCTCGGGCAAGAAGGTCTTGCTAATTGGTTCTATCCAGCACGTCCTCGCCATAAGAGAACAGCCCTGTCAGGTTACAACCAATGTTCGATTCCTAGTAGTAGACGCCCCGTTTGCTTACAACATTCTGTTGGGAAGGCCATCTCTCAATTCCATCAAGGCAATACCTTCGGCGTACCATTTGATGATGAAGTTTTCCACTGAAAACGGGGTCGGCATGGTCAGGGTGGACCAATGCCTGGCCAGAGAATGCTATGTTGTGTCAATGAGGCAGAGAGATGTGGAATCAGTCCAGCTAGAAGACCTGGACATGAGAGACGAATTGGACACTAGGCCTACCCCTACAGAGTAGCTAGAGCCCATGCAGCTGGACGAGGATTCAGAACACGTGGTTTACATAGGTTCCATATTGCTCCCACTCATTAAGGAGAAGCTCATCTCGTTCCTGAAGGAGAATGCTGACGTTTTTGTCTGGAAACAAAAGGACATGGAGGGAATAAACCCCGCGATGATCATACATTGAATGAGCGTCGACCCGTGCTACAAGCCCATCAGATAAAAAAGAAGGAGTTTCGCGCCAGAAAGGCAAAAAGTTATTAACGAGGAGGTGGCCAAGCTACTGCGGGCCAAAGCCATCAAGGAGGTCGATTACCCGACCTGGCTGGCTAATGTCGTGCTCGTAAAGAAGGTAAATGGCAAATGAAGACTCTATATCGACTTCACTGACCTAAACTGGGCAGTCCCTAAAGACAGTTTCCCCTTACCTCAAATAGACCTGATAGTCGACGCCACTATTGGCCATGAGCTCCTCAGCTTCATGGACGCTTTTTCAGGCTACAATCAGATCAGAATGGACCCCAACGACCAAGAAAAGACATCGTTCATCACAGAGTAGGGGGTCTACTGCTACCAAGTGATGCCTTTCGCCTAAAGAATACCGGAGCCACTTATCAGAGGTTAGTTAATAGAATGTTCAGCGAGAAGCTCAGTCTGACCATGGAGTATACATAAACGATATGCTTGTAAAATCCCTTAAGGACGAATCTCATGTCCACCATCTCGGGGAGTCCTTCGAAATTATGCACCAATATAGAATGAAGTTGAACCTAGCGAAATGCACTTTTGGAGTGTCGGCAGGAAAGTTCCTGGGATTCATAGTCAACAGCAAAGGTACCAAGGCGAACCTCAAGAAGGTTAAGGCCGTCGTTCAAATGAAGCCCCCCACCAACATCAGAGAAATGCAGTGCCTGACCGGGAGAATAGCGGCGCTCAACCAGTTCGTCTCACGATCAAGTGATAAATGTCAACTTTTCTTCAAAGTCCTGAAGGCGGCCTTCCAGTGGAACGAGAAATGCGAAGAAGCCTTCCAGGCCCTTAAGGCTTACTTGGCCTCCCCGCCTGTGTTGGTGAGCCCGAAGACTAAGGTCATACTTCCAGGCGCATACCATTAAGGTCCTAATAAACCAGCCGATGAGGCAAGTCTTGCACAAGCCAGAGGCCTCGGGAAGATTCGTCAAATGGGTG